CTTTATTTGCTTTAAAAAATAAACAATAATATACCTTTCAACATATTCACTAATTTATAGAATATTATCCAAACGGTTTTCCAAATCACGCTTTATTTTTTACTAACCTGGGAATATCTTTAATTAATTCAACACTAAATACAAATAACACAATTAAATTTTGTACATAGTAGGTTTTCTTATGTATGCTTGACATTATATAACTCGAGGCTATGCTTATTTTCTTTATACTTTGACAATTTTGGATTTGTCAATGTAAATAATGTCCATGTAGCGCCGTTATTACGACGAGTTTCTACGTTGCCAAGAAGAGGATCTCAACATAGGCATACCTTGGATCCTGAATTGTCCTCGTTGCGCGAGCATGATAACAGTCACCTTTTATTGGAGTGTAAGTGTGCTATCGCGCAAATATATTTTTATAAGTATTATTTTACAAAAATCTATTATTATAAATATTATTACAAAAAAAATACATATAAAATTTTGGAACAATCGTAATTAAAGGAATTTCTTGTTTTATTCCTTATTTCCTTTTATAATGATCAATTTTGTAAATCACTAGCCTATTTTCTGATCTGCGATCTAAGATTATTACATTTAATTAATTTTATTTTCTCATTTATCGGCTCGGAATATCTAGAAAGGTGTTACTTTTCTCGTTGCAATTAAGTCGACAGACGGTAGAATGATTTTACTAATGTTTTCGCGAGAAAATCGGCCGCCTGGAGTCGAGCCAGCGGTATTTTTACGCATTTCGTCGGTCGAATGAGACGGAAACTGCTGCGCAAACGCAATATAGGACGATCTATGGTCGTCGTTACATGAGATGACCGGAATTTTGGGATCGGGAGTAAAAAGAGAATTTTTCGATGCAGTTGTGCAGGCTGTATTGCGGTATTCGTGCGCGGAAACTATGACCCATATTCGCGGGCCATCCACAAAATTGAAATGAGAAATCGTAGAATGGAATGAATGTGGGTACACTCGCTTATTTACTCTCGCGCAACGCGGTATTTAAAATTGCAATTCGATTGAGGCATGTCGAGATAGTGAAGTTTTAATTGACAGTGACGTGTGTGATTCATATCGAATTTGCGAAAGATATACGTCGGTCGGTGACATAAAACGTACAACAACAAAATAATGAAATATTTGACGAAATATAAAGTCAAAACGAGAAAAAAATGAGGCGTAGTAGAAAACGAAAGCACTGATTAATTAATGCCGTTTAGTTTTATTTTTTTTCTCTTTAATTTTCCACGATGTTGAGTTAAACCGTCCAATTTTCTTCAATTACCACATCATTCTGTTCTGAGTTCTCTCTCTGTGAAAGTGAAAAGCTAGCTTGGATTGTTCTGCGAAATTCGTACAAAACATAATTAAAAATCTGGAGGAGCGTAATCTCTCTCTTCGAGAGACCTCGTATCTCACGCAAACATTTCCCTCCTCGTTTGCTGATCCTTAAGCTTGCTAAGCATGCGAGATTTCTTTGAGATCTCGCGCTCGAGATTAAGACGACGGAAGTAGACCGAGCGCGTGGAAATTGGCAGAAGTGCGCAATGAATGCGGCTTTCACCGGATTACGCAAAGGAAGCGGCAAAACTGTTGTGCGAAATGCACTCGAGAACGCGAAACAATGACCAAGAAACGCGAGTAGATTCAATTCATGGAGCAGGAGGAAAAATTATGCCCCGGTTTCCCAACCAGAAAAAGCCAACCGGTGTGCAATTACAGAGGATATTCTTGATATACCTTCAGAGTCGTTCCCCAAGCATATTTTATTAATCATACGAGTTAAATTTATATCGAATAAATGAATCAACTTGTTAACCGACCATATATTACAATCGAACGAGTACGATGATATTGAGACTAATCGTTGCGAATAGATTTATAGATAAAGATCAAAGTAATGTAAATTAATATAATCGCAATTAAATGTAATCTGTGTTACTAAATTATCATGTTGCTAATTGACTGTACATAATTTATAGGTAAAGATTAATTTTCCAATATAGACAAAAGATAAAAATAAATTAATTATTGTTGCAATTAGCACTAAATAAATGTTATGATGAAACAATTTTATTCTAACAATTTTATTCTATAGTTCTATTTTGCTTTAATGTGTCTTTTAATTTCCTTATCGGACAGAGTATTTCGCGTAAAATTCTATTTTACGGCGAAACCAAACTCGATTGTGTGCCGTGACGTATATATATTTAATGAGATTATACACTATTTGACGGAGTAAAAAGTTCATTTGGTTACGCATCATGACCTGATTTGGCTTTATAGCAATTAATTTTGTTTCTTCCAATGATAAAGGCGATTTCGTGGAGGAATATAAAATTGATGAAGAGCAAATGACGATCTTTTTTGCAACTCGGGAGAGTTACCTAGTATTAATGTGACAGACGCAATCAACGTAAGAAGTAATGGATTTCGTAAGAGACGGACGATCTCGCGATCTCTTTTAATGCGATCTCTTTTTTTTTTTCAAGTCCTCATCCGCTTTTCTCACCATATTCTAATCGTTGCGTAACGTGAGAAGCGTTACCGATTTCATAAGATAACATAGAAATGTGCGACGCACAGAAACGTGAAATTAACGGTCCGTAACGATTATAGTTATCCCATTCTAAGCAACATAATGACAAGCGCCTTCTGACACGCGAAATTCGCCTCTGATCTCTATCGCGCTACTCGAAGACACTTAAAAATGATTACTTTCGGTATTTTTAAAGCTCATATTTTATGATTATTATTTAGACAACATTAAAAAAATCGTATTTTGCAATCTGATACATTTACGTATTGTGTGATTTTAGATTGTGAAATAGTCAACTTTGTTATTAATAATGATTCTGTTATAAATAATATCTAGCTAATTTACACAATATAAATATTATAATTTAATTTGTAACAAATTTGTAGTTTTTTTTCCTATTTTTCAATTTAGTATATAAACTTATATACGTGTAGTAAAAAACACAGTTGATGTTGCTTTGAAGTGATATTTAAATCAGGCACCTTTAAAATATCTTTTTGATCTTAATAAATATTTTTTTGTTAAAAAGTTAATATTAACTGTTGATTTTTCACGGAACGGATATTTCACACATGCAATAACTGGCTAGTCGGCGAATTACTCCTTAGAACTTTAATGAAAAGTAACTTCGCGCGTGATGAATCGCCGGCTTACGCGTGCAATGAGCAAAAGTCAAAGGTGATTTAATTACCGGTGACCTTATTTATCGCCACAATTGTTGAATTTTATGTGAGAGACATTGTCGTTCTTAGTGAAGTCATAGAAATTATCCATCTACTCAAAATATGTAAATTAATTTTTATTACTTAATAATTTTATTAAATCGTTGATCATAGCGAAATTAATCTTATTGATAATTGTAAAAGAGTGAAATACGGAATGAATATAATTACAAAGAGAACGAGAGAGAAAAAGCGGAGAAGAGAGAGAGAGAGAGAGAGAGAGAGAGAGAGAAGAAATAATAGAACAAAATAAGGACGGTAAG